GGGTAAGATAGGGACACAAGTTCCCTTTCCTAGTTCATGTTAATTAATAGTCGCATTCTGGCAATACTTGTAAACTCCTGCGAAGCTGCAAAATGGTACAAGTGAGCTACTTTATCCCAGGGATTCATCGTTCTCTACAGGTGGTCTGTACAAGCTTCGATAAGTAGCATTCTAAGCCCTCCGAACCGAACTGATACTGACAATTTCGCATTCTCCCAGGGGAAGTAGATAAGCAAAGTAGCTGAAAAGTGAGCCAAATGAAGTCAATCTACCTTCTCGTGAAGTGACACCATCTCGTGACGCAGCATCAATCGCGGCTAGCGACTGACGAAAATCCTGCGAAGAGTAATCAACTGCCATTCCGTCGCGACGCGACTCCTCCCGACGATGTTCGAACTCTGAAACGAATAAAGCAACATACACAACAGTCGTTCCACGCCGTGCACGTGAGAAACAGGAAGAGCTGAAGCTCTCAAGGAAATTATCGAAGTGGTAAACAAAAATGAAAAAGTCTCCGTGAGGGTTACTGCCGGAACTGGAGTCACTTACTTAAAGGCACAGTTACAAAACGTGGCAGCGACGGTTTGAGTAGGATTGTGTAAATGCTAATTAACATAATAGAGAACAAACAAGCGGAAAATACAGCCGGAAATGCACGGCACACTTCTGTTGGTTTTACATCCTACAGATGAAGAGGTTGTGGCTGGATACTTCCCTTGAGTGTCGCTTTTGGAACTTTGTTCGTTTCGGGATAAATCGGTTGCTGCATCCTGTTCGTGCCGTGAAATGAAGTGCGTAGCCACCGCCCACCCCATTTTCGATATATAAAGTGTAAGCATTATAAGACCACAAGCAGAGGAGCCACTGAACATGTAAAAGAAACAGATGAAGATATGATGACAGAGCACGCAGATGAGCAAGAGCGCTTCCTTGGTTCCTGCTTCCTTGTTCGTCCTCTCGTCCCCCTCCCGTTCTCTGCTTGATAGACCAACCGAAAAAGACGACGGAGGAATGCATCTGAACCCTCACAGCAAGAAAAATTTTCGTAGATAGATGCCCTGTAACCGATAGGAGATCGTCGGAGAGTGCGGGCCGCGCCACTTTGTAAAATAGAAAGGATCTGCACGACAGGTTATCGGCGGACCGTTTCGTGAGCAAACGTGAGATGGGTCAGACTGAATACTTGTGACTCTAGAAAATCGACGCTTTGAGCGAAAGGAAAAATACACAGTCTTATTTGCTGTGGATGATCTGGCAAGTCAAGGGGAATGGCTTGACGAGAATCCCGCTTTTTTTCTCGTTTTTTGCATTGGTGAAGCGAGTTTCAGACACGTATCCGTGTGTCGCTTACCCGCTTTCAAACAACTGGAGAAGAATGAGTTGGCGGCGCGCCAAACTCATCCTTAATGATACTCCCCCCTGCATGCCCGCAGCGAACAAGACTGTTTAAGAAGGTACGAACCGGCATCCCTCGACATCAATACCTTTCACTTTGCTTCACAACGCCAGTTCTGAAAATTTTCTATTCAGGCATTCTCCGAAGCGCGCCATTCTCAGCGTCCGTATACAAGATCGGCAGATGTACGTGAACACAGCTTACAGAAGCATAACTGTCGACAAAAAGTGTTTTTCGGCCACGGAAGATGCAAGCATTCGTGCAAGACGCGGTAAGACTTCGAGAGGAAAAGATAGAAGGGAAGAGGAAGGGAAGAAAGAAATGAAAGACGAAGTCAGGGGAAGGGATGTTTGCGTGGCCAATTGTCAAGAAGATGCAGGATAATACGCTTCTGTTTGGAATTCGAAATTGGAACAAACAAGTGTTTTGAATAGAAAGAAGTCTCTGCCATGCTTCGTACAACTTTGCTGTAGGGTAATGTAAAAGCAAAAGCACAAGACCAACCACGCTTTGAACTGTAATCGTCTTTTCTTCCGTGATAGTCGCGACGTTTATGGTAGTCGTCTACTGGACCGTAATCGCGACGTTTTGTGACAATACGCTCGTTATAGGTGCGTGTCTCCTCTTCAATATATTCCTCTTCCACCTCGTCCTCGTCCTCTTCGTACAATTCAGTACGATACTCGGACGAGTACTCTCGCTCCCGCTGATCCTGAAACAGTTGAACTGTTAGATTTTGTGGCGAGATAGGGTCGTACAGTAATTGCAAGGCAATAAATTCACATAAAGCTCTAGATATTAGTACAAGAAATTCAGAAGAAATGCCAAGAATATAAAAGCTTCAACATAGAAAGAAGAAGAAAAACAGCGTAATCAATGCTGAGTCGATGAAGATTCAATTGAAACGGAATCCAGATATCTTTGCGGAAAGTCGAAGCTGTTCTTATCACCCCACCCGTCCCCCTCTAACAACTATCAAGCAGGTTCTTTAGAGCTTCAACAGGCAAAAGCGTTACAGAAAGTTTACATTGGCAATGGAGCACGAGATAGAGTTAGCGCGCGCCAACCTTTCTCGAACATATCTGGGGCCGTATGCTATATTTTTCCCCTCAGGAAAAAAATTTCCCTTCTAGGGAAGATACCGAGGGACGACGATAGTAAGTGTAACTACTCTTCTTTGAAGATGGCAGAATTGATGTGAATATGTGAAATGTGAAGTACTGCATAGCAGTCGGCGCTAACCTAGGGAGAGGGGAGGAGGGAGGGGGGACTACTCGCTAGCACCTCGGTATCCCTTTCTCTAATCAAGGCCTAGGCTTAGTAAAAAGGTATGCCTTCTTTGCAGGACTTTACTCAGCAACTGTGGTCGTATGCGCTCTAGGCGTGAGCCTTTTAGGGGAATGGATGCAAAGGTGCAGTAAATGGATTGGACGTAGTTGAAGGGGGGAGCGACCATTTGCCCCCCCCCCTTCAACTACGTTCATCCAATACTGCGTTGCGGATGATAATGGGTGATTTCAGTGAGGCAAGGCTTATAGTGGCATGGATCTCGCATTAATCAGTACAGGCAGAGCGATCTTGGTGATCAGATCATCAAGCACGTTGATTCACGACAAATAAGTTGTTCATGTTAAAGGTTTACAAAAAAATAACCACCAACAGCGAAAACCACTCAGCGCTAACGTACCTATAAGAGAATGAAGGAGGGGACCACTCCATAGCGTCTCTGCGTCTCTTTCCCCAACCAAGGCTCTAACTGAGAGCCCAGCCGGTCAGGAGTCGCCACGAGTCACTGTTGCAGAACAGGACACTCTCTATGCAACTCCATATAAGGTTTAGGCCTGGAGGGGGGGGAGGGGGTTGCGAGGGGAATGGCAGAGCGCTTCAGGGGGCTGGAACTTTCTTCCGAAGTTTTGGGCCATTGAGGCGTGGAGAGGGGGGAGAGTAAGACACGCTTGCTGATGGAAAGAAGTCGCTTGCCTCGTCGCCAAGCAGCGTGCATGGGTATTAAACTGGAAAAATCAACGATTGCGAAAAATGTTACTGAGGCCCTTTATGGCTCCTTCCCCAGCTGTCCGAATATGATCTCTCTCTCACTGAAATGCCTGAAACCACGGTCTACGGGCTTTTGTCAACCGCGGCAATGGGTGACTCAGCAATTTGTCGCGTCGTCGGTCGTCTCGCACACTCTCGTCGACGCTGCGTCTCCGCTTAGAAAGGCTAGAGCGTAGACAGAAAGGCATCCACCGATCCCGATTGCCGACGATCACCAGTTCACGTGATTGTTGCGTGCTTTGCTCGTGTTTGGTCACTCTCCGATGCTAATGATTCGTTAAAAAAATAGGAAATCAAGAAGATCTTAACTATAAGAAGGAACTCAGTCCTTCTCGCTTCTTACTTCAAGTATTATTCTTGAAGTGGAATTGGTGTTTGTTGGAAAACAATTGTGGGAATACCATGCGATTCATCTTTAACCGTTTACAGACCCAAAAGCAACGGGAAC